ACAACATGAACGGCATAAGCAATGTCGGGACGAGTGAGGGACAAGTAAATTAACTTCCCCACTAACTTCTGGTATCTCTCCTTATCAGGGTAGTCCTCTCCCACTGTCTCCTGTAGACCATGATTCGGTTCTATTAGAGTATCTGTTGGCCTGCACCCCAACATGCCTATCTCTTGTAGAAGGTCAAGGATGTATTTCCATTGACATATATAGATGCCCTCTTTGGATCTAGCAACTTCTTTCCCTAGGAAGTACCTCAGTTGACCCAGGTCTTTGATTTTAAATTCAGCAGCTAGGACCTCCTTCAGTCTGTTGATCTCCTCCCTATCATCCCCAATAATTACCATATCATCTACATAGACGATAAGAGCAGTAAGTTTCCCATTCCTCTTCTTTATAAATAGAGTATGATCTGCCCCGCTTTGAGTATAACCACCTTTCTTCATGGCTCCACATAGCTTCTCAAACCAGGCACGAGGGGACTGTTTAAGGCCATATAGTGCCTTTCTCAGTCTACACACTTTTCTGCTAAATTCATAACCTGGTGGAGGATCCATGAATACCTCCTCATGTAGATCACCATTTAAAAAAGCATTCTTCACATCCAGCTGATGAAGTTCCCACGAGAAGTTGGCAGCTAATGAGAGTAGGACTCTGATAGTGTTGAGTTTTGCTACAGGAGCAAATGTTTCTTTGTAGTCAACTCCTTCCTTTTGAGTAACCCCTTCGCCACGAGTCTAGCCTTGTATCTTTCAATGGACCCGTCCTCCCTATGCTTCACGGTGAACACCCACTTGCATCCAATAGTACCTTTCCCTTCTGGTAGATCTACTAGTTCCCAAGTCCCTGCTTTCATCAAGGCATTCATTTCTTCATTCATAACCTCTTTCCACCTCGGGTCAGACACAACCTCAGAGTACCAAGTAGGAACATGCACAAAAGAGAGAGCAGACACAAAAGAACAATAACTATGGGACAAGTGTGAGTAAGACACAAAATCCGCAATAGGGTATTCGATAGTACAAGAACGAGTAGATTTACGAAGTGCAATTGGAAGATCCAAGTCAGAGGAATTGATAGGATTACCTTGAGTTACTGCGACAGGTTGATCCGAGTCCAATCGGTTGTTGTCATGAGTTGGAGGGCTCTTCTTCCTTCTATTATAGGTAACTCCAATATCTTTCTGCTGCCTGTTGGAGCCTTTAGTAACATTTTCCACATCACTAGTAGTAGTTGGGCCAATGGGAGCCTCACTAGATTCACCTAGGATACCACAACTAGGAGGATCAAGAGGAGAAGATGGAAGATCTGAGGCAGAGAGGGGCACAAAGAAATGGGGAATAGAAGAATCAATCGGAGGGTCATCTTCCATCCTACTAGTCTCCCCCTGAAGAGGATCCGAGGAAGATTGAAAGTAGGATTGAGACTCAAAGAACACCACATCTTTTGTGACATAGCTCGAGGATCCAGTTTTGTCTTCTTTGGATCCTTGACATGTATGAAACATACACACCCAAAGGCCCTTGGCGGAAGAGAAAAAACAGGGAGATGAGGGCAAAGAATCGAAAATGGAGTCTTCATTCCCAAGACCTTAGATGGCATTYGGTTTATCAAATATGATGCAGTGAGGATTGCCTGAGACCAATAGCCTTTTGGAACCTTGTSCTGAAATAATAAAGCTCGTGCAGTCTCCAATAAGTGTCTATTCTTGCGCTCAGCAACCCCATTCTGTTGAGGGGTACTAGCACAAGATGACTGGTGAATCATTCCACATCCTCCATAAACAAGTTTAAGGATCTTTCGAAATATTCAG